TGATCCAATGGTTAGGGCAATGTTCGGAATGCTGTATATGCTTTAAACGAGCATCAAATATATGGTGCTCTTTCTCCAATAGCCAGGATTCACAGGTTTAGGAATAAAGGGGTGGAAATGGGAGTGGCACTACTCACTATTACCCCTAGTGACCCACTCAAAAAAATTTTGCTTCCTGTCTCTGCAAGCCCATGATCTACAGGTCTGGAGGTCTTAGACTGTGGATTACAGAAACCCCCTCTAGTATTAAAAATTCTAAGAGGTTCCGAGTGTCATGTTTAGAACATTTACTGTGTAGAACCTAATTATATGTTTTGATTTTGTGCATGGGAAAATGATTACTTCATCAACACCAAACAGGGTCTGAGAGAAGAAAGTTCAACAACTATTCTAATTGTGTCCATCAGACCCACTGCTAGAAGTATACTTTCTTCCTCCAAATATGAATTTGACCTTACAGCATGTCTTCCAGCTATTCTAAAAAGTAACTCATTGATGTTTCAGAAGTATGTTTTTATGAGGTCCTTATAATCAACTTGAGTATTTTATCCAATCTTTTCTCCTCCTGTGAGGAACAGTGGCATCTGAGTCTTACTATGAAAGCAGGTTCCTAATGGGGGAGATTTGCTTTGCATGTTCCTCTATATGGTAGCTTTTCACACTTGACAGACCATAGAGGAAGTTAATAGATAAATCCAGGCATTGAATGTCCTTTTGTGTACAGAAAATGATGTGCACACTGGGGGCTGAATATCTACCTTGAATCTTACACTCTCAGCATATCTATCTCAATTCTCACAGATTTCCTAGAATCAACTCCAATCACAGAGAGAGAAATTAGCAATTTTCCTACTGGCCATCTATAGATAAAGGCTGAATTCTGTAAGCAGTGGGTGGAGAGTTAATGTTCAAACTGGTATATTCTCTGGGGTTAGATCTCCTATATTTTTAGTTCCACTATATCACTTACACAGACTTAAAGAAGGTTGGTGGTTCAAGCTCACCAGCCACTCTGTGGAAGCAAGACTGGGCAATCTACTTCTGTAAAGATTTATTGTTTTGGAAACCCAGCAAGGGTTGCTATGAGTCACGATCAACTTGATAGTAGTGGGTTTGGTTTTTGGTTCCACTACATATTGTTTTCTGTAGTTTTTATTTTAGCTTTTAATACAGGAAAATTACAAAAAAAAAAAGAAAGTTCTGTGGTGCCAAGAAACAGATTCTGAGAGGTAACTGGAGTACAGGAGCTTTTAAGAGTCTAAAGCACTCTGATTATTCTTTAGAGTCTGGATGTTATGGTCAAATTCTCCTCCTGAAAAATTCAAGAGGATCTCACTCCAAGGTTCCATGAGGCCTTACCAAAACTCCACAGAAAAGCTGAGCCTAAAGCAAAGGTACAGCTTCCCGTAGAGAACAATGGTTGGCCTTATGGTCAGACAATGATCAGACTGGACTGCAGTGGGGGCCTTCCCTCCTTGTCCTGTAGCACAACCCTTAACTCCATTGCTCCATCTTTCTACCAATAACATCCCACTTCATATGCTACCCCCCAAGAGATTTGTATTACAGTTTGGATACAAGAGCATATGCTATTTTGTGTGTATATTTTTTCAGTGTTGACCTATCTTTCTCTTACTCAATAAATGTTTATTGAAGTTTATTGAAATGAATAAGTTCTGTGTCAGACCTTTTACTTAAAGTTCTACATCTCTTATTTAATCCTAGGAATGTTATGAGATAATTATCATTATTCCTACTTCACAGATGAGAAAACTGAGATTTGGCAAATGTAAATTACTTGCCAAAGATTACAATTATTAAGTGATGGAACTGAAAATAGCCTATTAATAATAGTCTCTAACTTATGCCCTAAGAGCCCTACTGAGACAAATAGTTAAGTACTCAGTGACTGACCAGAAGGTTGACAATTCAAACCCAACCAGTGGCCCCATGGGAAAAAGACCTGGCAATCTGCTCCTGTAGAGATTATAGCCAGGGAAACCCCATGAGACAGTTCTACCCTGTCACATGGCATCACTCTGAGCTGAAATTGACTCAATAGCACCTAACAACTTCTACTGTAAGCTTCCAAAACTTCTTTTGTATAACAAGGGATATGACTAGGCATAAAACATGTAGTAAGTGATTTCTCATATATGACCAAGATCATGATGGCAATAAGATGATGATCATTAAGTTATTTTACATCCTACTTTCATCAACTCTATAATGAGGATACATTCTTGGGACTATGTGATATTTAAGGTGATATATTTAAGAGCTTTATAAGAAGCAATTTTACTCAAGGGTAGTGTTCACTTGTAAACTGCAGAATGGGGCTCATGAAGTCCAGGGGAGGCTGCATGATGAGACAAGAGGCAAGGTAGAACACAGATTCCGAGTCAGAGGCTCGGTATCCGATCCTGGCTTGAGAAAGTTATTTAAGCTCTCTCGCCCTTCTATGTCTTCACTTGTAAAATAAATGGTTAAACTAGGTCAATGGCTCCCAAATAGTAGTCTGTGATGAAGTTTTCATCAGTCTGTAGTGAAATGAGAAAAATAAGGACAATGGCCTTATTCATGTAATTAAATTGGTTTTTAGTATATGTGCTGCTAAAACAAGCACTAATTAAATTCATTTTTTAAATAAATGTGTTCAAAGAGCTTGCTTTTATGAACAGAGTTTCTCCACACACACACCCCTGAACATTCTCACATGGTAAAATTCAAATATGCCACCTATACAGAAATCTTGATTCAAAAAAAAAGAGAGAGAGAAAATTACTGATCTATAAATCTGAAGGTCTGGAAACCACTAGACTAGATGATTGCTAATGTCTTTTCTGTCTCCAAAATTCTACCTTTAAGTCACAAACATTATTTAAGTTATTGTGAACGAATGAAGGAAGAAAGAGAAAAACATTTTATCCTTTTTTTTTTTTTTTCCACTCAACATTTCCCAAACTGTGCTCTGTGAGAGAAAAGCCCCTGGCAAGATATTGTAGCTGTTCTCCTAGGAAAAGGATTCTTGGTCACATGAGTTTGGGAAACAAGAGGTTAAAAAAGTTGGACAGGGCTCTTTACGGAGAGATTTTCAGAATCTGTAAAATGTTAACATCCACTGTGACTCCTCAGAAGCTTGAAATGCTTCAGAAGTTATAGGTGGAAAGCAGAGGGGCCCCCCCAACATATACACACGCACACACACACACCCCTTTTTGAATAGTACATCTATTCCTGGATCTCAGTTTGAGGGAGGAAATTTCAATTATAAGAAAGTTCCTCAATAGTTTTCATAATAAAGGGAGGGGAAAAAAAAACACCATTAGGAAAAAGATAATTTGTCATTTATTTTATAATTATTATAATTTGACAATTTTTCAAACAACCAAAATTATGTGTACTTAAAACTTTCCAATAGAAACCTGGATGAAAATACAGCAAATTAAAGCACAAAGACTAAAAACTTTTATCCTTTTTGAGAACTATTATTTTTTTCTATCATTGCAAATAAAGGAAAATTGTATCAAGAGGTTTTATCCAGGGATTGCAACATGATAATTAAAGCACTTGGAATTTGCAAAAGTTTGCAGTAACAAAACTATGGCTCTCATCCCATCACAGTGAATACAAAGTAAAATAAAACCATGTGTAGGTATTGAACCTGAGAAAACCCCAGCTCCTTGTAAACTGTATGTCATCAGTAAGGACAAATAATTCCGAATGCTTAGTCTTGTAATTTGTGTAAACCCTTTTACTATGACACCAAGGGACAAAATTTTTTGTAGAAGAAAAAGATTGTATAGTGTGTTTGTTTGTGTTTTTCTTTGCTTAATTACTTAACCACAGTTGAAAAGATTTGCTGAGCTTTTCTCTCTTACTGCTTTTCACATCATCACATGAAATATCAACTATCCAAAGTTTTCAGCTTTCAAATTCAGAACTTAAGTTTCACTTTTCATACTCAGGAGAGATCAGCTTTCACTTGGAGCAAGAGGATCCTACAGCAAACTATCCAGAGAGAGGACTTAACACCAATCTTTTATGTATTCTGACACTAAGGGATCTTTCTTTCTGATTCTATGCATTCCTGGTTTTTGACAAGTCCAAAGCTCTGCATTACCTCGTTCAATATTTTCCATCATAACTGTATGGAGAGTCACAACCCACTTTTCATAATCCTGCTGACTACAGCAGTCTGTGACCATAAAAAGCCTTTAAAGACCAAGAACTGACTTAGAAAAATATCTCTCCAAAGAAACAAAAGTTCATACACCCATTTACATTCAAAGATAGGCAAGTCTCTCTCATTTGGTGTTGATGAATTCAAAGTGTTGTTTATAGGGTCTAAATTTAGAGATAAATTTCTTCCAATGACATTTGTAAACAAAATACCAACACTAAAATGAGAGCAAGTTAGCAAGGGAAAGGGGGAGTGTGCTGTCCAGCAAATCAAACCTTCTTCCAGATACTGGAGAGAAATTGTCTTGTCTACACACAAGCACATGACCTGGCTTTGGTGCTCCATGCCTAGAACCCCCTCAACCTCCAAGTTAACGAGTATATGGGCAGTTTGCACCAAACATCCAAGGTTTCTGAATTAGCTTCTTTTAAACTTTCAGCTAGTGATGGTTTCCTCACTCAGTAGGGGAATAAAAAACACCAAACAACTCTTTTTAACAGACTACAATATCCAGAAACATAATATGATTCAATATAAACATACTGTAGTTTGAAACTATCCCATTCAAGTCACTGTGAACATCTGCTAAACTTAATAAGAAGTTGGTTTTCATTTTTCCGAGAGAGTTCCAGTGGAAAAGTAAATAACAGGGGGGAAAAAAAAAGTTTAGTGACTCCTTCACATATTTGAACTTGGCATTTCTGCAGAATAACTCTATTCCCCCATATGGCAAAGCAGATCATATTTAATATCAATACTTCAAAACTCATATCTTTTAAACATTATTTTTAAAACATAAAACATCAGAGCTACTTGCCTTTTGGCAATTTCTGTGCATTTCCCAGAGCTAGTGCAATACTTCCACAGAGAAGTAGACACCCCAAGCTGGAGAGCATGTTGCGTTTGCCACCTTGCACGAGGAGTGATGCTGGTGGGTGTCTCGCAACCCTGGAGCTGCATTTAAGTCAACTGTCTCCCAGTGACAGAGGCGGGCGGCTGCACTAAGCAGCGCTGTGGGCTTACTCACAGGGGGTGGAGACAAGATGACATCACACCCTTTCCCACACACACTAAAAAAAAAAGAAAAAAAGAAAGAGTAGGCACAACAGCAAAAACATATCACCACATCTCCCTCTACTAGATTGTTTCTGCCTCTTCTCATGTATTTCTGAAAGAAAAAAAAAAATCTAAGCAATTTTGACGCATTCAATGAACTACCTTAAATATCTGGTACAGACATGCTTACAGCCTTTGGAACACACAGACAATCAAATAAAACCCTGTTAGGAAGGAAACTGTTTTTAATTAGTCAGTGAACCAATCTAGTTCTTCTCTTAAATGGGGGTGGACCTATGAAAATAAATTTCCAGGCATTCTGCAGTTC